AGGGCCTTGTACATGCTAGACAAGTAATGTTCAACTGAGCTATACTCCCAGCCCCAACAATGTATTTGTATAAGTATGCCTTATGTAGTTCTTTTTTGTGTTGTTGGGGATTGAACCCAGGGCCTTAAGTGTGCTAGGCAAGTACTCTACCACTGAGCTACAACTCCAACCTCCCCCTACCCCACCCTGCTCTTTTTTCAGTTTGTGTACTGAGTATACAAAATCTTTCCCCTTACATGATATATATATGGATAATGAAATGTCACATGGTAATGCATAAATATATATACTTTCTTTGTATCAAAAAATTTAATCTCCCATAGCAAATTTTAGGTATATATTACAATATTATTTACTATATTTAGCATATGGTATTATAGATACTTAGAAGTTCATCCATCTTTGGGGGGGGCACCTGAGCTGGAGTTGAGCACGCCTCCTCAACCTTGAGTAATGGGGATATTGAACTGGCATTGCATGCAGTGCAAAGCAAGTAGATCTTACCTTCGCTTGGCAAGGAAGTGCAACTCTGGGATTGGGCATCACCCATGGGACTGGGCTACACCCCCTTTTGTTGTAACACAATCCTTTGCCTTATTTGGTGGAATATTCTATCGAATGTCTTTCCTCTGATAAATACAGGGGTTTGGGATACTTTCTTTCTCTCTTGCTTCCCTTGTTCCTCTTGCCCTCCAACGTGGGAACTAAGGTCTCAGAGCTGTCCCTGATCCCCACAAAAGGTATTTCTGTTTTTGTATAGTCTTTTTGTTGCCAGCCCAATTCATGCTGAGTGACCCTGACTCTATCACTGCCGGACGTGGGCGATACATCTTGTAGTTGAAAGTTGATTCTTCTTGGCCAGCATCTCTCTATTCATAAAGTCCTCCAAGTTCATCTTCATAATTACAGATGGAAAGGTTTCCTTCTTTTGAAAGGTTGAGTCCACTGTATATGTATTCTGAAATATTTATAAACCATATATCTGAGAAGGGACCATATAAAGAACTTCTACAACTCAATAGCAGAAAAACAAATAACCTGATTTAAAAACGGGCCACCAACTTGAATTGATTTCTTGCTAAAGAAGACAAACAGATGTCCCATAGGTATATGATAAGGTGTTGAGCATCACTAATCATCATCCTTACACTTCTTAGATCATCTGTTAAAAAGAAATAATAACAAATGTTAGTAAGGATGTGGAGAAAAGGGAATCCTTGTATAGTGTTGGGGAATGTAAATTGATATAGCCATTATTTAAGACAATATGAAAAAACCTTCCAAAATTAAAAATAGAACCACCATATGATCCAGCAATTCCATTTCTGGGTTTGTGTTCAAAGGAAATGAAATCAGTGTCTTGATGAGATATTTGCATTCCTGTGATTTTTTTTATCATTATTCATAATAATGTCTATTAATGAATGACTAGAATTTTATTAGAATAAATAACTGTAAATCATGATAGTGTGAAATTTTCTAAGTAATTTAGTTTTAAGTGTGATGTATCAGAATTAAATGGGGAACTTGTTGTGGAAGATGAACTTTCTTGCAAGATATAAAAATTTATTTAAGAAAATTAAAAAAAATATTTAGGACTGTAGTTTGGTTCTTTTCTGTGACTTTATGTAGAGCTTTATTTCCTTTAATTGATTTATTCCTCAGTATTTGCTTTAGCTGGAGGCCTTTTTTCACCATGAAGCCTTATTTTTCTAATAGTATTATTTGTGTTTTTAACTCTATGTTAACATCTGTGATTTTTAAAAAATATGCAGTAACTGGCATATTTTGCCCATCTGCAACATTAAAAGATTATAGATTCTTAATAGGTGTTTTGGAAGCAATAACAGAAAAGACTCTTCATAGTGATATTGAATTTAAAATGTAAGTATTTTTTTATTATGAAAATAACAAGGTGTGTTTTAAAACTCAAATCTTAAACATCTTTGGCTATTATTCCTGCTTCAGTTTTTTTTTAAAAAAAGTATATATTTTTTAGTTGTAGATGGACACAATTTTTTCTTTCTTTCTTTCCTTTCTTTCTTTTGCTGAGGATTGAACCCAGTGCCTCACAAGGCAAGTGCTGTACCACTCAGCTACAACCCCAGCCCCTCCTGTGTCAGTTTTACAGAAATATTTACAGAATTAAAAACTTGGGACTTAATGGGTTAATTTTGAAACTATAAGTTCGAACTGGTATGTAAAACCACTGATACTAGGACAAATAAAATGATTCATGGGTTAAACTTTTATTCTAAGATTTGAAAGCTCTCTTTTATAGATGTATACACAAAAAGGATAAGAATACCTAATTATCAAATCATTGTAAAACACTTGTGATTTGACAGCAACCTCAATGTGAAATAATCTGCATTTTTAAACAGTCACAGAGAGAGAGAGAGAGAGAGAGAGAGAGAGAGAGAGAGAGCGCACGCGCGCCAGGCATGATGACTGAAGCCTCTAATCCCAGCTACTCAGGAGGCTGAAGCAGGATTGTGATTTGGAGGCCAGTCTTGGCAATTTAGCAAGACCTTTTTTCAAGCCTGAAAGACTGGAAGTGTAGCTCAGTGGTAAAGTGCCCTTGGGTGTCATCCCTAGTACTGCAAACATTAAAAAAAGAAGAAAAAAAAAAGAAATAATAATAATAAAAGAAAAACAAAACTGTTGCAAACAGAATAGTATTTGCAAGACCCAACTTACAAAGCAAAAAATTACCACAGATTTTTTGTGAATATCAAGTTAATTTCTGGAAGTTCTGGGGATTGAACCCAGGGCCTTATATCATTAAGCAAATGCTATACTACTGAGCTGTATCCCCAGCTATCTTTTTACTTTATACCTAAATAAATCTTATTACTAAATTTCCATTTTTATTTTAATTTTAAATTTTTATTTATTTAATTTAATGTTATAAAAATTAACTTTATAATCCTTAAATAGATAATGTAGTAATTACTTGTCAAATGTTTCAAAATAACATTTTTTAAAAATTTATTTCTTCTCTGGTACATTAAAAAATAACTGTACATATTAATGGAGCAATGTATACTGCTGGATACAGTATATGTGTGCTGCACACACCTTTAATCCCAGAAGCTCAGGAGGCTGAGGCAGGAGGATTGCAGATTCAGGGCCAGCCAAGGCAATTTAGTGAGAACCTGCCTCAAAATAAATAAATAAAATGAATGGAGTAATAAGGGATATGTCCAAATTTGTGTTTTTAAAATACATAACTTGAGTTATAAATAAAACTATTTTATGTATAACTAAAAGCGTAGTTATATATAAACTAAGTATACTTGTAGCCTGATATAGCAGCAGCACATACCTGTAGTCTGGCTTGGAAAGCTAAGGCAGGAAGATCGCAATATAGAGGCCAGTCTGGCAATCTGGTAAGACCATATCTCAAAATAAAAAGATAACTCAAATGTTGTGTAGATAATAAATGTTTTGAAGAAAACAGTGAAATTTTCTATAATATTTCTTTCTTTTTTTTTCTTTTAAAAAAAGAGAGAGAATTTTAATATTTATTTTTTAGTTTTCAGCGGACACAACATCTTTGTTTGTATGTGGCGCTGAGGATCGAACCCGGGCCGCACGCATGCCAGGCAAGCGCACTACCGTTTGAGCCACATCCCCAGCCCAATATTTATTTATTTGTTTGTTTGTTTGTTTATTTATTGGTACGGGGGATTGAACTCAGGGGCACTTGACACCAAGCCTCATTCCCAGCTCTATTTTGTATTGTATTTAAAGACAGGGTCTCACTGAGTTGCTTAGTGCCTCACTTTTTGCTGAGGCTGGCTTTGAACTTGTGATCTTCCTGCCTCAGCCTTCCCAGCTGCTGGGATTACAGGTGTGCACCACTGAGCCCAGCTTCTGTAATATTTTTAATAGTTGTTAAATTATTTGTAACTTGTTAGCCAGTACTTACAACATTATGCTATAGTGTGTCTTATACTAAGAAGACGGGAAAATCAACTCATGTACCTATGCATTTCAATCTTTTTTCGTGTGTGTGTTTCCAGGTTGTATGCGAGGATTGATTTTTTTTTTTACACTTAGTTTTAGCTGTTACCTATTTTTAGTTGATATTTGCAACTTCCTTTTCACAAAGAATCATTTTTTCATGCCATTTTAAAATCTCAACTGTGATGACTTGTAAGAAATTCAAATACTGAGGAAAGATCACTTATCTCCTAGTAATCATCATGTTTTGGGGTTATATCCCCATATATATTCTACAGTCAGTCAATGCTCTTTTGTTACCTATTTTAGTATCCTAATTCTTGGGTTAGGACCAAGGACCAATGGTATATATAAAATACTTAGTTTGGGATTATTGATTTTGACTAGTGCTAGTAAACAGAAGATGCTTAGGGAAAAAAGTGTAGGATAGAGGTAATTGGGTACTAATAAAATTGTGCAATTTTAAATGATTAGTGTTGCTTTCTGATTTTTTTTGTGTGTGTTTATGAGAGAGATATATGACAATTATATATTTGAACTTTCTCTGCTCACTTTTTTTTTTTTTGTATTGAGGATAGAACCTATGGTCTTGTGCATGCTTTGCAAGTACTCTGCCATTGAGATAAGTCCCCAATCCCTATATATTTGAACTTTCTATTCTAAATGTATAGCAAAATTTGGATCACTGATGTGTTAAGTTTAAGTAAGTTAGTGAGGATTTTAGGACTAAAAGATTTAAAAATTTATTTCCTTAGGTATTTTCCCTTGAGAAGTTTTGCAAGATTACATTGAGTTTTTCTTTCAGGTACTAATGTTTATTTGTTAATAAAGCAAAAATAAATTACTTTATGACTTTTCTGTATATGAGAATCCATTAAATATTTTTAGATGATGTGATTTTTAAAAAATATTGATTTTATTATAATACTACAAAGAGTTTACAGTCTATGTCAGGGCTTATTAGAAAAATGGAAAAGTTCACTAATATTTGTAAGACTTTTTAGATTGTAAATGACTATCTTCTTTTCTAGGTCTGTTAAAATTTTGCACTGTAGGATTTTGTGGAATTGGGAGCCTAATTGATTTCATTCTTATTTCAATGCAGGTAAGTTCATTTTAATCTGGAATGTAAACTTTTTTATATTCAAAATTGAATTTGGTGGTCTTCTGGTATATTTTAAATTTAAAATGCATTAGTAAGCAGATAGAATATTTGTTTCAATTTTTCATCAAATACTGGATTGTCATCATTTTTCAACTTATTATTTTCCCAACTGTGGTTCTAAAGATATAAGATATTCTTAAAAAAGGATTCCATATTCAAATGTGATTTGTAGATGTGAGTTCAACTGTTAAATAGGTTTCTTTATTGAATAACTTTTCAGAATGTTTATAATACAAATTAAGTCTTTAAGAGGGAGGGTATTGTAGTTATTTCTCAAACTTACTTTTTATTTTTATTTTCATTTTCAGTGATGGGGATGGAGCCAGGGATACTCTGAGCTACATTCCCAACCGTTTTTCTTTTTTATTTTGAAATAGGGTCTCACTGAGTTGTTGAGGCTGGCCTCAAGCTTACAATTCTCCTGCCTCAACTTTCAGAGTAGCTGGGATTACAAGCAGGTGTCACTATTTCTGGACATTTGGGCATAAAAACCATCTTTTAAGTGCTTAAAGAATAACATCTCACAAACTGCCTGCTTCCTTCCCTAATTGAAGCAGGAGAAAGTGAGGCCAATACAGAGAAACAGAGATGAATATCAGGAGAGTTTGAAATATATCATTTTTTTGCATGGACTTGGTCTTCCTTGAAGGTAGCCCCCCTCCTAGACATTTTTAAAATATTTATTTATTTATTTTTTAGTTGTAGTTGAGCACAATATATTTATTTATTTTTATGTGGTGCTGGGGATTGAACCCAGGGCCTCGCTCATGCTAGGTGAGTGCTCTACTGCTGAGCCACAACCCCAGGTCCCCCTCCTAGACATTTTATGGAGCATTCATACAATCCTTTTGTGGGGGTGGGAGGGACGGCGGGGAGGCATAAGCCAGTTAGCTGCAGCTTTTGTAACACACAATGAGCAGAATATTAGTATAGAATCCTTGTCTAGTGCAAAAGACAATTTTATTTCTGCTTTCATAATGTTTGTATATATCAGAGTCTCATCAATGTCCTGTTATATTAATTGACAAGATAACTGGATCTGTCAGCTTCAGGAGATATAGCTCAGCATACAAAGTCCTGGGTTCAATCCTTTGTACACATACACAAAAAAGGAGTTATAATTAACTCAAGAATTCTTTTTTTTTTTTTTTTTTAATCTGTTTATTAAAGCAGGCCCATTTGACTACCTGCTTGAAAAGACAATAAGTTTAGATTAAGATACTCAAAAGCAATACTGTTTTTTGTTTTTTTTTGTTCCATTAAAAACAGTTTGGGGATTGAAATCAGGGTACTTTACCACTGAACTATATCCTCAGTCCTTTTCTTTTTTTTTTTTTTCCAATTTTGAGACAAGGTCTCGATAAGTTGCTAAGGCTGGTCTTGAACTTGTTATTCTCCTGCCTCAGTCTCCCAGGTTTCAAGAATTCTTAAATTAAGGGAAAAAGATGAATTTATCTTCAACAAGCATTTATGGAGTACCTAATGTCTTTAGCAAGGGTTTCAGTATACATTTAGTTCATCATCTGTTTTGCTCTGCTTTTTCTTCCAGTATTTCTATTCTTCAATTCTGTCTGCTTGATGTTACCATTACATGCTAAAAGAAAGTCAAGATCTAAGAGATTTTGGTACCATACTGTGAGGAGGAGGCAGCATATGGACCAATAAGATACCAGAATTAAACAAGGAAAATATTTGGTTTTAAAGTTGGAATTTTCCTGCCTTTGCTCGTAAACATATGCCTAACCAAATATCCTGCCTTCTTTAACTGTGGGACAGGCAAGCAGGCATGAAGAGGCTAAAGTACTTGTACACATATGCTTAGAAATGGGTTTCTCAGTTTAAATGAGGATCCAAGGAATTGAATGATTATTGGTATTTTTTTTTTTTTTTTTTTTTTTGGTGGTTCTGGGGACTGAATTCAGGGCATTGTGCATGCGAGGCAAGCACTCTACCAACTGAGCAGTATCCCCAGCCCAATTATTGGGATTCTTCAAGTTAAGATATCCAGAATTCAAAGTGTCTTTGTATCCCAACCAGGCTAGATTCTTTCTTTGGTGATATTATCTTTGCTTTGCAGCTTTAGTTATATCAAATTCTACAATTGATTTGATCATCTACTGTTTTCTGATTTACATATGTATACCTGAACTTTTCACAATAGGTAGGTTTTTTTTTTTTTTTTTAAAGAACTTCTGGGTTTAGGACTCTACAGTATTGAGCTTCCTTTTTTGGCAGATGGTGGAAAGATTTGCTGAGGATTGAACCTACTGGTGCTCTACATACATCCCTAGCCCTTTATTTTTCATTTTGAGGCAGGGTCTCACGTGCTGAGGCTGGCCTTGAACTTGAGATCCTCTTGCTTCAGCCTCCTGAGTCACTGGGATTACATGCATGGGCCACCATGCTGAGCTAAGAAATTATTGAAATAGAATTAGTGTTTGAATTTCTGCAGTTAATTTCTCTGAATAAAATATTTTAATACATTTGGCCACTTTAGACTGTTTCAGATTGGGGTAATAAAATCAATTTTCAAACGTAACCAAGTAAGATGTGTAGCCTATTTATCTGTCATTTAATATACTCAAAGCAATGATGACTGCATCAGTTTTATTAGAGTTTTTTTCAGCAAATCAAATAATTTTTACTTTAAATATCATCAACTATAATATTTATGTCCTGATTGTATTTTTAAATTTCTTAATAGACCTTTTGTTTATTATCATTTTGTTTATTTTTCTTTCTCCATGCCTGTTTTTTTTTAACTTCTTTTTAACTTCTTTTTCTTTTGCCATTAAATATTATTTCCCAGTGAATAGGAGTGTTTTTCTATTGGACTGTGATTTCAGAAATATATACGTGGATTTGGACCTATAAAAACATTGTTTCACAATCTTTATTACAAAAATATAGGAATACAGTTATTTCATGTTAGAACATAAAGTATAATGCACAGCTGGTTGCAGTGTTACACACATGTAATCCCAGTGACTTGGGAGGCTGAAGCAGGAGGATTCCAAGTTTGAGGCCAGCCTCAGCAACTTATCAAGGCCTTCAGCAACTTAATAAGACCCTGTCTTAAATAAAAATATAAAAAGGGCTAGGGATGTGACTCAGTGGTAAAGTGCTCCTGGGTTCAATCCCTAGTACCAATAAAATAAGAAAATAAAATATTGCTACAGTAAAGAAGGTTTATATGTTGCTATGTTCACTGAAAATACTTAGTTTTTTTTTTTTTTTTTTTTTTTTTTACCTTTTTCTTGGTACCAAGGATTAAATCCAGGAGTACTTGATGGCTGGGTCACATCCCCAGCCTTTTTTAGTTTTCATTTGAAATAGCATCTTGCTAGGTTGCTGAGGCTGGCCTCAAACTTTCAATCCTTCTGCCTCAGCCTCCTGAGTTTCTGGGATTATAGGCTTGTACCAGCATGTCTAGCTCACCTAGCCTTTATCTGTTAATAAAATTTGGAAGTTTTTATATTTTTATAATTGTATTATAAGGAAACAATATAAATCATGAATAAGATGAAATAGTAAATAGAATGCAGTCAACAAAAATGTAAATCAGTGATATCTAGAGTATACAATTTTTCTGCTGTAATTAATCATATATAAATTATATATAGTTATTCTTAAGGTAGGTTTGTAGATTTAAAAACAGTCATTCTGTTGTATCTATGGATTTTTGCATATAATTATGTCCTGTATAAAGACATTTTGGCCAACTGAAATAAACCACATATATCATGGTGGTCCCATAAGATTGTAGTAGAGCTGAAAAATTCCTATCACCTAGTGACATCATAATTGTCCCTGACATTGTAGTGTGATGCATTATTGACATGTTTGCTGGTGCTCATGAAAACGAACCTTTTAGTTATATCACTGTTTTTAGTGGCAGTTATATAAAAATATAGCACAAACAGTTATGTACAATACATAATGTGTGATAATAAATGACTTCATTATTGGTCATTTAAGTGTTTATTATACTATTATCATTATTTTAGAGTATACGTCCACTTATTTAAAAAAGTTTACTGTGAAATAGCATGCTGTATTATTTTAGCAGCTGCCTCATCTTGTGTTTACTGCATCAATAGGCAAGGTCAGGTGACTGGTATATACCTAGATTTGTGTAACTACACTCTGAAGTTTGCAAAATGATAAAATGGCCTGCTTATGCTTTTCTGGGAACATGTCATTATTAAATGATGCATATATATACACCATAAAGAATAGATTAGATGGTATAAGCTTTTTTATTATAAAAAAAATGGAATATTTTATTTATGCTTAAACTTCCTTTTTCACTCACATAGTCTAACATTTTAAATTATATAATCACTGATGTCTATCAAAGTTTTGTTAAGTAGAGAGAAGATAACCACAAATCAGGAAGATAAGTATGCATAAGGGGGAAAATGAAAATATGTGTTGGGATGTAGAAAGTAGTTAGAAGAAAGTATGTTGTTTTTTGTTTGTTTCAGTTTTTAAAAATTTTGTGTATCGTGGAAGAAATTACTTTCATTTTTATTCCTATTAATGTTACTCATTGTATTTTTTTAAAGGGCTCAACTGGATAAGGAGTAGTAGTAATTCACATACTTTCCAAGACATTTATGAATTTTGTAAATAAATTTATCAGATTTGAAAAATGTGTCTTATTGTTTTGGCATTTACTATATGCCACTCATTTTAGCACTGGCTTATAATCTGCTTTGTATTATTACTCTTCTGAGCTTTTAAACACCAGGTTTGACTTTTCACACATTAATTTCTTGAGGAAAATTTCTTTAGTAGTATGCTAAACATAGAATATGCCCTGAAAATTTTTTTTTTCTGATTTAAATGAATACAATATATCTGTGAAAAAGTATGGGTTTTGTGCCAAGTACTAGCATTATGAAAAGCTAAAAATGGTCCTTTTAAAAAAAAGTGAA